TGAAGATTGATTCTATAGGTCCATGGTAGGGCCTTCCGGAATCTGGATTATAAAGAGTCCCTGGATGTCCTTATGATTGGACAGGTATTGACAATGCTTTTGAGCAAAAGGGCCTTGGTAGAGGCCAGGTCCAGGCCCATGGTCACTATCACCAAGGCCCAAAGAAGGCAGGAGATGCTGGTATGGATGGTGCAGGGACCCAGGATTAGGAGAGGCCTGGGCTGGACATGAAGGCAGGGAGGGAGGTTAAGAGGCCAGAGAGCAGCCCTCAGAGCAGGTGGAGGTGGGGGTTTTGCCAGCCACTCCTGCAAACCTTGAGTCTGTGAGAAGATCACCCCTGGATAATGTGTTCTAAATAAGGCTGCTGCGGCTCAGATGATGAGTCACAAGGATAGGACTGCTGGGGGCAGGACCTATTCAGGACCTAGTGACAGGACAAAATAAATGAGTCTGGAGAGTTAGGAGATCTATTTTAGGGCTGGTTCAGCAGCCCTTCACAGTCAGACCTTTGCTGAGGGGGTGCCGTGTGGTGCCCGTGTCTGCCCCCGGGTTACCTTGAGCCTTGTTCTGCAGGGTGAAGGACGCCTCTCTGAAGGGCATTTGGGATGGGAGGCTGAGTGCCTCTGCACACACCCTTTCACCCTCCTCATCCTGGAGGCCAGCACAGCACCTGGCACACGCCACAGCACCCGTGCATGTGGCTGAACCTCTTCAGTGGGATTCCCCCGCATTGCTGGATCTCGGGACTTCTGGCTGTGGGATAGAGGGTCCCACTGGACTCCCCAGGGACACTTGTGACCACCTTAAAGGCATCAGGAACCGCTTAGCCCTGTGGTCAGAATCCTATCTTCATTTCAGAACCTGGTCTCAAGCCGTTTTCCATGTTCGCTCTGCTCCCCACCCTGACCAGGCTCTGCCGGAGATGGGTGAGCTGGGAGCTCCTCCTGGACCGGGCTGAACAGTCCAAACTGCACAGCCCCACAGTGAGGGTTTGCACCCAAGAGACCTTCTCTCTCCAACCCAGCAATGTCATTGTGTCCCAGCTGGAAGTCCCCAGCAAATCACTGACTGGTGATTTTCTGGGCAAGGCTTGGGGCCCCTCCTTTTGCGGTCTCCGGTGAGGTTGCTAAGCTCCTGTGCCTGGTCTCCTGGTGTGGTTTGGGACGCTCACATGTCCAGGTGCTCCTGACTTAGTTTGATAATTGGCACATGTAAGTTGTCTGTCACATGTGGTCACAGGGGCCTGGACATCAGGTCCTTTGCCTTGGTTACATGGTCCTGTGCCTTTGGGCTGTGCGGAGCAGATGGTGGTTGATTACGCGTACAAACAAGGTGTGGGGTCCAGCCTCAGCACTTGTACTCAAAATGGAGTAGCTCCTGGCAAACGCGGCTTTATAAAATGGAGCTAGGCACAGCCTGACCCTTCTGTGTACCTCAGGGAGTGACCAGAGCAGGAAGGCCTGCTCTCCACAACCTCCCTCCCGTCAGCCCATCTCCAGGAAGAAGCTAACCCTCCACGGAGGCCCAGTCAAGGTCAGAGAAGGTCGCATCGTTGTGATTTCAACTGTGGGTTCCAAACTCTGAAGGTCTCTACTTTGTTTTTTTTTTAGTTTTTAATGCTTTTTATAAAAGCAATTTGTGGATTTTTTTGATAACAGCTTTACTGAGATATGATTTACACACCATGAAATTCAACCATTTAAAGCGTACAATTCATATTCAGAGCTATACAACCATCTCTACAATCCATTCTTTTTAATCTTTAATTAATTTATTTATTTTTACATGGTGCTGAGGATCGAACCCAGCGCCTCTATGTGCTAGGCGAGCGCTCTACCGCTGAGCCACAATCTTAGCCCATACAATCCATTTTAGAAGATTTTCATCATCCAAAAAAAAAAAGAAGCCCCATCCTTTAACTGTTATCCATTTCCCACCCCCATGCCCTTCCCAGTTTTAGCAACCAACACTATTTTCTATCTCTATCGCTGTTTGTTCTGGATATTTCATACAAACGGAACCACCCGACTGTGGTCTGTGGTTGACATCTTTCACTTAACACAGGTTTCCAGGTTGATGGGTTTACAGCGTGGATCAATGCTTCATTCTTATTAGAGCTGAATAATATACCATCTTCTAGGGGTGAATCGTGTGCCCCTCGCCCCCAAACCCATATGCCAAAACCCCAACCCCAAGCATCTCACAGTGTGACAGGATTTAGAAGTAGGGTCTCGGCAGGTGTGATTAGTTAAGATGGGGTCATCCTGGAGAAGGGCGGGTCCTGGTCCAATGTGACTGCTGTCCTTATGAAAAGGGGAAACTTGCACACTGGCATGGACACACGGGGCACACCATGCGGAGACAGAGGTAGAAACTGGGTGACATTTCCACAAGCCAAGAACTGCCAAAGATGGCCAGACGCTGGAAAGAGGTGCAGCGGATTCTCTCGGCATCTGAGAGAGAACCAGCCTGCAGGTACCTGGACCCCGGACTCGCAGCCTCCGAACCTGGGAGGCCACACATTAGGTTGCTGAAGACATGGGGGTAGGGCAGTTCATCGTGGTGGGCCTCAATGGCTTGTTTCCCCCCCAGGGGTTCACGGATGTCCAGGCTGTTTCCACCCTTGGCACGATTATGAAAGTCACTGATCTTCAGGACCACGTGACCTTGTCTTTCTCCAGGGTGTGTCCTTAGGGGTGAATTGATGTTGTGTGCCCCTGTTTAAGCTTTTCATGAACTCCAGAGTGTTTTCCAAAGTGGCTGCCCCATTGATGTTCCCGCCGCCCGCGAGGGCTCCGTTTCACCAACGCTCTCTTTTGGATTCCCCCGTCCTGGTGAGACGAATGTGATGGTGACGCGGTAGCACACCGTGGGGTTTTTGGTGGTGTGGGGGTGGATCCTGCCCAGCACCTCCCACAGGCCAAGCATGTGCTTCACCACGGACCTGCCACCTGCCCACGTTGAGGTTTTGATTTGAGTTTTCCTGAGGACTGGTGATGTTGAGTGTCTTGGCATTTTTCCTGTGAGGATCTCTGTATCTGTCTTTGAATCTGCTGCAGGTTGTTGAGGGTTTTGTTTTTTGTTTTCCTTTTCAGTACTGGGGATGAACCAGGGCCTTGCACATGCAGGTCAGGGCTCTACCACTGAGCTCCACCCCTGTCCAGTAAGACTTCCTTATAGATCTAGATCCTCTAGATACAAGTTCCTTATCAGACACCTTATATAAAAGGGCACTCGCCTAGCATGTGTGCGAGGCCCTGGGTTCGATCCTCAGCACCACATAAAAATAAATAAATTAAATATATTGTGTCCAACTACAAGTAAAACAAAACAAAACAAAAAAACTACATATGCTTTCATTCATTATCTATTTCTCTGTGCTGGGGTTGGAGCTAGGCATAGTTCACGCCGAACACAAGCTCTACCATTGAGCTATGCCCCAGCCTCTTGCTTTGGTGTGTGTTTTGAAGCACGAAAGTATTTAATTTGGACAAAGTCCAACTTACCTATTCCAACCTAGGCTTTGCCCACTTGTCTTCCCTCTATACTTGCCCCTCTGCCGCCATTTCTCCAGGACCAAAGTGGTCTTTTTAAATTTTTAAGCATAAAGCGAATCACACCAACGCTCTATTTGCAGGGACAGCATTTAAATGGCCTGCGGTCTGTGCTGCCCCCTCCTTGGTATCAACTCACACTATCTCTCCCTGGCACGGTGCTCCAGCTGCTCTGAACTTCTTTCTTATAATCTCTACCAGACTCCTGCCTCAGGGCCTTTGCATGTGTCCCCTTGTAAGACTTAGGCTCAGCTGCTCCTTTTCTTCATCCCAGACCCAGTTCAAATGCTGCTTCCCCCAACAAGCCTTTTCTGATTGTCCTCTCTAATGCCACTGCACCTCGCCTCACCCCTTTTGTATCACCCTGTTTCATTCCTTTCAGTGGGACTTAAATGAAATTATTCTGCATGCTTTGCACATGTGTTTACTTATCACACACCTTCCCCTGCTAGAACCTAAGTTCTCTGACCCCAGTGACCTCTGACTCACTGTTGCATCTCAGTAGGTCTTAGTAAACATTGGTTGAGTTAATGTGCAATGCAATGCAGCAGCAGCTGGACAGAACGTGTCAGCATGGTGCCCAGAAATGCGAAAACTCCCTGAACTGAAGAACCAGAAGGAACCATCAGCACTGCGTAGTTTATACACTTTGTGATGCTGGGTTCTGGCAGGAGGGGAAAACCAGTCCTGGCCTGTGGGGCTCCTTCTGTAAGCTAGCAGGAGGCTTCTCACTGTCAGCGCGCAAGTCCTGGGTCGACTCCGGCTCAGTCGGCATTGCTACCCAGCTCCCAGTGGGTGAGTGGCAAGTGTCGAGGGGCAGGGGTGCCTCCCTTCCCGTGTCACATCATCTCTTGTGAAACTGGGGAACCCCACTAAGGCTCCCAACAAGGAGGAAGAGGTAAACATTTCAGTGTCTGGTGGGTGACCCAGTCCAATCACCACGGCCCCTCCCAACCAAAGCTTTAATTCCTCTGCAAACATCTTTCCCAGATTTTGAGCAGAGAAGACATCAGGGAAAAAACCCCACCGTACCTTAGCCCATGTTGAACTCCTGACTTTCCCTTATATTGAAGTTGTATGTCTTCTCATTACGTATTCTGAAAGACGAGCAACTCTACTAACATTTATGAGGCACCTACTGTGTGCCTGCCGTTTTAGAGCTAGAGGTACAAAGATAAATATGACATCTCCCCTTTTCCCAGGAGCTAGTCTGGTGACAGGGCAAGATGAGAAAATAAGTTTCCTAGTCTTGATATAATGTGGAAACTTGTGCAACGGAAGCAGCTGGTGCTTGGGAGAACCAAAGCGCTTTATTTCCAGGGTGAAGTTGAGACTTAACAGTTCAGAGAAACAGAGTGCTTCCATGGTGTGTGACTCATTATCTGGTGCAAACAATTACTTCACACACCAAAGGGAACAGGGAGGGGAAGGGAGGAAGGCCCGGGAGGCGGTCCACAGGGCACTAAGCTCCCACACCGCACTTGACTCCATTTCCTTACTAGATGCACCCAAAGCTCTGTGGAGAGAGGGCAAGAAGCTGACTCCAGCCAGAAGGTTCCAGAAGAATCAAAAAGAGCCTTAACCTCTGGGTGGAGACTGGAGCTTGATCCTGAAGGACATTCAGAAGGCTCCAGATGGACAGTAGAAGAGTGTTGCTCCCCGCAGAGGGATTGGTGTGAGGGACTCTAGGATGAGCAAGGTCATCAGGTGTTCAGGGAGGGAGGACACCGGCTTGCCCAGGGGATGTGGATCAGAGGTGAGCACCTGGCAGCCCGGAAGGGCGCTGTTAGCTGGGGAAGGGCAGATTGGGGCCGCCCGCACACTTTCCCTACAAAAGGGCCACAGGGCCATTTGGTGTCCATGGCAACTTCTCAACTCTGCCCAGAGACAGTAGGTAAATGAATGGTGCAGCTGTGTGCCAAGGAAACCTGGCGGCCATTTACATGTGAGTTCCATTTAATTTTCATGTGTCATGAAATAGCATTCTTTTGATTTATTTTCAACCACTGGAAAAGGTCAAAGCCATTCTTAGCTCAATGGTACCACAAAAACAAGTGGGGGAGGGGGTGTTGGGACCCTGAGCTGAAGTTTGCCAACCCCTGGGTCTGAGTGCAGCTGGAAGAAAGTAAACAACAGGAAGTTGGGGAAAAATCTAGAATGGATTTTGACCAAGGAGCTTAAATTTTATCTGTTGGCCAATAGGATGCTCGTTAGCCCAGGGAGGAGGTACTCAGATGAGGTGCAAGTGGACTTCCATGTGCCCAAGAGGAGTCCTATGACACCTAAGAATGGGTCTACAATAAGGGAAAGAGGGTGATCTGACTCTGGAAGATAAATTACTGCAAGCACTCTTGAGAGGCATCAGCAAAACCTATTTACACACAGAGTACTAATTAAACTTTTTTTCTGTTGCTTTTTCATTAAAACAAACCCCACCCTCTGCTGGCACTTGTTTGTGTTATTCCAAGTACTTGAAAACAACAAATGGCATTTTCTAAATTACTCTGAGACAAATAGTATTTATTAACACAGATTGCCTTTGCTTATCTGATCCAGTTTATTGAGGTTTTATCCTATATGTGTTTAATTCCATAGGTGTGACTCAGAGTGGGAAGGCCGTGGGCTCCACCTCTCTGCAGAGAAGATACAATTACACTCAGTGGGACTGGTAAACATTTAACGGCCCACTCTCAAGGGGAAAAAAAGTGTGTGCGTATATTAATAATTTTATTTTAATTTTTACTGATTTACAGGATTGCAGCACGCACTTGATAAGTAATTACAAGTTGCCCACGACTCTTCAGTGTAAATTCCACGTAGCTAATTGACAGGCAGTCTGTCTGCAGTTTACCACGGTGACAAAACATAGTGTTGAATAAATGCTTGATATTATCCAACTCAATAAAGAAGTTACCCGTGCCATTGACAAATGAGTGTCGTTCTGACACCTGCGCTGGTTGACATTTGTTTATGTTAACGAGTAAGAGGAGCAACAGGAAGATGCACCCTGTAACTTCATTCATCTGTCTGTGACAGCAGCGGCCTCTCTGGTGCATCATGAAAGAGTGCACAAATATTGAGAATGTTCCCTCAAAACCTTTGCGGCTCACAATGACATGACTACAGACATGACTTTCTTTCTTTCTTTTTTTGGTGGTGCTGGAGATGAAGAACTCAGGTCCTTGAGTGTGGAAGACACGGGCTTCACCACTGAGCTACCCTCCCCAGCCTGATGTGACCCATTTCTAAATACAGTCTGCATCGTTAACATTTTCTCTGTCACTTTATTCAATTTAGACAATCAATGAAACAATAAATCAAGACATGAGCTTTAGCATTTGTCAATTCTCTCTGTGGACAGTTTCAAGAAGAGATTTGTGGGAGCACAGTGGTGGATAGCATTTCTGCTGTACAGATACAAAAACAACCTGTAAAATTCCTTAAAAGCTGACAACCAGCTCCCTTGGAGTTCATACAAGCTGGCTCCAGGATAGAACTGATTGTCCCTCATTTATCTGGAATGGTCCCTTGTATATCAGCACTAAGCGTGTCACCGATAGAAACCTTGTTAAGACAAAATAATAGCCCTCAAGTACCCTTCCTTTAAAGTTAGCTATGAATACATCAGCTTGTCGTCCATTCTCAAGAATTAGCTCTACTGGTCTAAGACGTGCTCATTCTCAAGTGTCTAGGACTGATGGTTAGATTCTCAGTAGTGACTTGGCCCTGCTTATGTTGTTATGACAGTAAGGAGCTTTTTGCCTCCAAACATAAACCCCGGAGCGTGGAGCCATGAAAGTGGGAGCAGGAGGCTGGTGTGAACTTCTCTCACCCAGGGAGGCTGATCTACCCACCCTAGGCACAGGGAGGCAAAGCGGGCTCTTTCACTTGTTAAGTAGTGAGATGCCTGGCAGATAGGCTCCCCGCTCTGATGGGACGAGAGGGTCCCTTCCACGGCTCTGCTTTTGGGAAAGGACTTTGTGGTGTGGAAAGGAGGCTTCCATGGTCTCATGGCTAGGTTTCCCCTGTGTGTTGTTTCTATTTATTGCACTCTTGGCCACAGTTCTCCTAAGGCCCAGATCTGTCCATTCCCAGAGTAATCATTTACAAGTTAATAGCTAGTAGCCGAGCAAGTCTAGTGTGAAACCAGCCAACCCTCCAGCAAGTTTCAGAGTTAAGCACATATCGCACACCTTGATCCGAGAGAGAAGAATGTCAGGTTCTTGTGAACTGCAGGAGGCAGAGAATTTCTTGGAAAATGGGCTGCTAGCCAGTCTCAGTGGGCTGCTGCACATTCTCCTTTTCCCCATGGTTCGAATGTGGTTTGCCCTAATGGTTCGTGTGTTGGAAGCTTAGTCCTTAGTGTGGTGGTGCCATTAAGAGGCGGGGCCTAGTGTGAGATGGTTAGATCATTAGGGACCCAGCTCTGGGAAGGGGTTAAGGTAGTTTTCTTAGGACCTCCATTATCTCTCAGGAGAGTGAGTTGTTCTAAAAGAAGGAGTTTGACCCTGAATCTCTCTCTGGCTTCCTGTCTCATCATTGTGATGGGTTGTGCAAGTATTCCCAATGTCATGCCCCCATCCACCATGAGAACTTCGTTGGAGGCCAAATAGATGGGCCTGCTTCATCTTGGACATTCGGACTCCAGAGATGTGAGCTAAATAAATATCTTTTCTTTATAAAGTTTCAAGCCTCGGGTAGTTTGTCATAACAGCTTGCTATCTTGTTTTAATAATAGAGGACTATGGTCTTTTATGTGAAACCCATGGGTTAGATATGTATAGATACATAATTTCTCAGGTTTCAGAATGATAACACTGCTCTTATGGTATAACTTTGAATTACTCCTAGTGGACTTGGGGTAATGTCTATAATCAAGCACATTTATATTTTCTAGCAAAACAAAAATATTCATATGAAGTGGGATAAACAAGACTACATAGCTTCATGTCAGCTCATCTTGAGAAATTTTTATCTCTAAGAATTAATTTATTTATTTTGAAGACTGTTTTTTAAAAATACCTTTATTTTTCTAATTTATTTACTTTATGTGGTGCTAAGGATCAAACCCAGTGCCTCACTTATACTAGGTAAGTGCTCTACCACCCAGCTACAACTGCAGGCCCAAGAATTATTTTAAAGACTAGATTTTCAGGGCTTTTTATACTTAAAGTGTTCAGATTAAGGGAGTACAGGTCTGTAATGGCATTATCAGCATCTTCTTGATTCATTAACAAGTGTGTGTACATAATGTTTTCTTGATGCCTGTTTAATTTTATTTACTGGAAGCTCCTTATTCCTATATTAACCCCAGAGAGGCATTGGCCATGTTTTGCTCAGGTCTTGCTTTCGACCTAGGCTTTTGCACTGGGCAAGTTAGATTTCTAAGGGATGATGGAGAAGTGACTGCCACTCTCGTGACCCTTTTACATCACAGACAGACTTGGTAACCGCTTGCTTGTTTCTACCAGCCTTCTCGTCCACTTATTAACTCAGCACAGCTTTGCAATTTTACTTTCTGAGGCTACTAAAGATCCTTGTACCTGAAGAATCAAATGAAAGTACAAGAATGAAGAGCAGGAGCTGCACATAAAGGGAAGACGGGAAGAACACCAAGCTTAGCTTTGAACTTGTAGGAAGAGCCTTGATTAACGCTGGACTAGACACCCACAAAAAATACTACTTCCTCTTAAATCTCTCATAATCTCCTAGAAATCAGACTTCAAAGATCCAAGATGCAAAAAGTCATCTAGGATGCTGTCCAGCCTCAAAGAAGTCCACAAAGACTGGAGCTGGAAAACAAGTGGGAGGGAACACAAGTGCCTTGTGTGGAGAGGATATACTAACACCAACAACACACCAAAGACTGGAATGGCACAAAGCTGCAAGGAGAGGAAGTCCTCAGAGACACCAGCAGGGTGAGACCCATAAAGGGAAGAAAGAGGCAGGCATATGCAGTTTTTAGATTGTAATTTATTGCCTAGTACAAGGATAAAAGCTACCCACTAATGCATTTATTTTAGAAAGTTAAATTTCACATGCGTGCTACTAAAATACCAAAAGCCATACATAACGTCTGACCCATGCTGCCACCTCATATGGCAAATTCTTACATGGCAGCTTAAAAAAGATTGTTTGACTGGTCCAGTGTCCTACGGTCAGGAGACTTTTTTGTCTCACATATTGAGTTTCCAATGTCTCTCACACTTCCTCCTTTTCAGATGCACAAAAGGTTTTTGTAAAGTTTCTCTTGATTTTATTGCTGGCAGCTACAGAAACCATGCCACATGCCTGGTGTAGAGTTATAGGGTGTGATTTTCTTTTGACTAGTGTCTTCAGAACTTCTGGGTTTTAAAATACAGCTATGAGAATTTCCATGGGAGTTGTAAATGAAAACCTGTACTAATTCAAACTCTTTACCGGACTAGTTATGTCTGAGATTGGTAGACTGGTGCTGCTGCAGCGTTCTGAGAGCCCCTCCTCAGACATGTCCCAGGGTCCCCGGAGGTCCCCCCACTTCCATACCATTTAGGCGTTCGGAGCTCTACCGGGGTGTGGTCTGGCCTGAAACCATTTTTCTGTACCCTAAAACTATATACACCCAAGGGAGAACACTTGTAGATGTAAAAGCTTAGGAAACGTGGCTGGGACTTTCACTGGGGGCCGGGAGGCGCTCTTCCAAGGCAAGGACATGGGATGCAATCCCCACTTGTCAGTTGACTCGCTTTTGGGCCGATTGTCTTCTATACAAAACAAGTACCCATCTCCTTATGTGTCTGCTAAGACCGCCAGGTAAAGCACACGATCACTGCACGGCCCCTGCAGTCACTGGCTAGCCCCCACGGTGCGGGAGGCGCTGGTCACCGCGCTGGGTGCCCCGGGCGCAGCGCGGCCTCCAGCAGGGGGCGAGCTCCTCCCACCGTCGTCTCGCTGGACGGGCCTTCCCCGCGGTTTGGGTGGGGATTCCGAGGGATTCCTCGCCAGGGGTGGGGCTGGCCTGCGGAGGGGTGGGCTCCGATGCCTCCGAGGAGAGTGTCCCGCGCCCCCTGCTCGCGCCCTGGCGCAGGCCCGGGTTCTGGCGGGCCGGGGGGCGGGCCGGGGGGCGGGCCGGGAGGCGTCCGTGCGCCGCCAGCTCAGGGGGCGCGCCCTCGAACCCCGGCGCGCCGCGCGCCCCGAACGCCGAGACAATGCGGCGCGCGGCGGCCAGGAGCGGCTGGCGGGCCGGGGCGCGCGCCGCCTTCCTTCCTGCAGGCTCCGCTTCCCGG